CAATCAGGAGGCTGAAGCAGGAGGATCGCTGTGAGTTGGAGACCAGCCTGGGCTACATAATGAGTTGCAGGTCAGTCTCAAGTACATAGTGAGACCCTGTCTCAAAAAACAAAAAACAAACAAAAAAAAAGAAAGGTAACTTTGCTCTCAGTGGCTCTAACAATCCCATAATGCACACAGTATCAAGCAGTCTAGGTAATTAACTGAGGGGACTTTCCACTTTCACAGCCAGATTGAACAGTTTTGAGGATAATCTCCATCACTCCCCTAAGGCTCAGTTGGAAGATTCATTATTTATGCCCTCAATTGTTTACTGTCCTATTTTTCCATCCTTCCAGACCCACAGGCAGTGTTATCACTGGCCTGTTTCCAAAATGAATACATTAACACACTGCCCCACTAGTTACAAAACCAAAGATAATCAAACACAGCGGTATCTTAATATTAAAAAGCAAGCTCACTCACCACTTGATCCAGAAGAGAAGTTCATGACAATACTGGCTCAGGCTACCAACAGCTAAATTCTCTTGGCTGATGTGAGAACCATACATCACTCTGGCCCTTTATTTTGAGACACTGAGCAACATATATGCACATCCAACATATATTTTTCCTGGTAGTGGGGATTGAACTCAGGCTTCTGAGCTTGTGAGGCAGGCACAGCACCACTGAGCTAAATCCCAGGACCCCAACAATTCTTAAAGGGCAATAACATTAGAAAGGTAGCTGGGGGCAGGGGATAGCTCTGGCCCTCACCAGAGCAGCCTTGTGAACTATTGAGGATTAAACTTATTGAGATGCAATTTGCCTAGCAACCATTTCAGGAAGACTTCAATAACTCACTAGCAGCCAATGTGAAGATTTATTTGAGTGATAAATAATAGATTACCAAAAGACTACTAAGTCCTCTATCCTCAGCATTCAGACTCACAACAACTTGCTCAAAAGATTTAGCTTCTAAGAGTTAAGCCCCAGGGAAGGTGTTTGTGCTTAAACACACAAAAAACTGTCTCTTATACCTAACAAAGCTGAAAAGTTAAAAATTAACCATCAGCCACATATTTATTTGTATGAATGCTTTCACTGTCCCTAAATAAGTCTTTCACTTTAGAAGCAGCTTTCCCAGGTCTTTTTTGCCCCTAATATTTTTTTCACCTTGAGTAAGCATTTCCCCAATTCCAAACCTTAGAACATTCAAGCTGATAATTATGAGAATTAAGCAATGCCAAGGGTCCAATATTTTCTTTCACTTTCTCAAGGGGATCATTTTGTGTCTGATGCAAACAGAGGATTAGGCTGAAATCTTCCTTTGGAGAGACAAAGCCCTTTTTCTTTTTCTGTGTGACTCACAAAAACAAACAGGATGGATAAAAACAGATTGCTAAAGAAAATAAAATCAGTTACTTTATTTAAATTCAACATCATTCAACCTAAAGAATTGCAAGAAGTCATGCCTTCACTTAATTATTTTCTTGAAAAGAACCAAACTTAAGAGCTTTCATGCCCTTAAATTATATCTAGGAATCAATGCAGGTATATCTATGAATGGTTCTATACATAGCCTTATCTCCTGGGAAAAACCATTTGGAGTACCCCAATCATTTCACCACTGTAAAATATGTACTGATTCCACAAATCAATAAAGAAAACAAGCAGGGGATAATGGAACACACCTGTAATCTCAGCACTCAGGAAACTGAAGTAGGAGGATCTCTCAAACTCCAGGCCAGTCCTGGCTACATAACTCTAGGTCAGGCTGAACTACAAAGCAAGACCCTATCTCAAAAACAACAATGACAACAAAACAGGAGCTGACCTGGGAGCTGGTAGTGCACACCTGTAATTCCCACACTCTGAGGGACTGAGACAGAAGGATAACAAATTGTCTAGGCAACTCAGTGACGTAACAAGACCCTGTCTCAAAATTCAAAATTTTTAAGCCGGGAGTGGTGGCACACGCCTGTTATCCCAGCACTTGGGAGGCTGAGGCAGGAGATCATGTGAGTTAAGAGACCAGCCTGGGCTACACAGTGAGTTCCAGGTCAGTCTCACTACATTAAGTGAGACCCAGTCTCAAAAACAAAAACAAAACAAAACAAAAATTTTAAATTTTAAAAAGTGCTGGGGATGTGTAGCACAGTTCATAAATAAATATTTTTAGGGTCAGGGATTTAGCTCAGTGGTTCTGCTGCCTGCCTTGCAAGTGCAAGGTCCCAATTTCATTTCCCGGTACCAAAAAGTTTTTTTAAATAAGGAAATAAAGTGAGTAAAAAGTAATGTAACTCACTAAATAAATAACAACTTAAAAATAAGAAAATAAAGTAAGGGCCAGGGATTTAAGCTCAGTGGTTCCACTGCCTGCCTCACAAGTGCAAGGTCCCAAATTCAATCCCTGGTACCAAAAAAAAAAAAAAAGAAAGTGAGTAAAAGGTAATGTAAAAGGTAATGTAACTTTACAAAGCTTGCCAACTATTCATCCATGGGAAGAGAAAGAAAACCACTTAGGATATATTGGAGGGCAACATGCTTTTTAGTAAAGTCAAGTTGAAGTTTTATAACCTCCACATTTTGGGGGTGGGTCACTTGTTACATCTTCAACATCAAAGTATACTTTGTTTCATCCACTAGCTAATTGTCAAAGCTTCAATCAATGATTTTTTTAAAAAATTTTATCAGTGATTTCTAACAGTTCAATCTCTGTAACAAGTTAGGTGAGAACATCTACAGAATCTTCTTTTCCTTCCCAATTCAAACATAGATTCATAAAAACTTCAGGGACAAATGAGTAATAAACTAAAAACTCAAAATCCAATTTAAGATTACGGGTTTTCTGCATAATTCTGTATTAAGGCTACTTGAAATTTTATGTGTATATATACACACATATATATGTGGGGGGGTTGATTGCTGATACCTACTTGTTTTCATTTCCACAACTGACATGGTTACCAGTCCCACCAGCCTTTGGTGGGGAGCACTGGCTAGGATTGAACCCAGACCCTCCCTCACACATGCTAGGCAACAGCTCCTATCACTGAGCTAGCTACACTGGCCAGTTTTTGTGATTGTGTTGTTTTTTTAGACAGGGTCTTGCTATGACGTAGTTCAGGCCGGCCTCATTTCAGAATGGTCCTCCCTGCCTTGGCCTCCCAAGTGCTGGGATTACAGACCTGCCCTACCATAGCAGACCTGGCCAGGCTTTTAAAAATTGAGACAGGGTCTCTCTAAATTGCCTACCTAGGCTGTGCTACAATTGGGTGATTTTTAAGGCCTCAGCTTCCTGAGTAGCTGTGATTACAGGCATGCACCATCACACCTGGCTTTCATTCTTTGTAAGAGCTGTTTTGACTCAAATTACTCCTGATTAGAAAGCCAATGAATTAACACAAAAAAATCACTTAACCAGCTAAAACTATAAGACAGCGCTTGCGTATCAATTCCCTTTAAAACTAGACTCTAGTAAGAACAATCTTTGGAAACTAAACCTGTATTAGAAAAATAAGCTGAGTAATTAGTATCTACCAAAGTACTGCCAAAAATTTTATATTAATTCGTCTGCCATTGTAGTTCTTCAATAATCAACACTGAGATGAACCTGGTTCAAACATGTTTGTTTGAAAATGCTTAGTTAAAGCAAGAGTGCCATCAACCCTGCCACCCAATGTAGACACACATTTTGTTTCTAACATCATTTTGGGCATTCTACTTTCAGTTGATAACTTTCCTCTCAATTTAAACATATATAGAAGCCTGGCGTGTGATGCACACCTGTAATTCCAGTACTCAGGAGGCTGAGGCAGGAGGATAGCTGAGAGTTCAAGGCCAGCCTAGGCTACATAATGAGCTCAAGGACAGCCTGAACTAAAAACAGATCCTGTCTCAAAAAACAAACAACAGCCAGGCGTGGTGGTGCTTGTAATCCCAGCACTCAGGAGGCTGAGGCAGGAGGATTGATGTGAGTTGGAGACCAGCCTGGACTACACAGTGAGTTCCAGGTCAGTCTCACTACATAAGTGAGACCCAGTCTCAAAAAACAAAAACAAACAAACAAAAAAAAAAAACCCAAAACAAAAAACAAGCATATAAAAGTTCCTCATGTGGAATGGTGGAGACACGTGCCCTTCACAAAGAAGGGATACTTAAATTAAAGAGAAAGGGACTCAAAAGACAAAAATATTTAATTTGTAATGCTACACCCATCCAAATTCAGTTTGGAAAGGAGAACCTTTTAAAATAAGTAAAATCCACCTCCGTCTTTTTGTTTTGGTACCAGGGATCGAACTCAGGACCTGGGGCAAGGCAGGAATGGTGCCACTGAGCTAAATCCCCAGGCCCCTGGTTTTAGTTTTTTATGATAGAAACTATTACCTCTCAGAATCTATGAATATAAGAAACAAATTAAAACAAATTTTAAGTTTTAGTAACAGAAAGGTAAATCTGCCCACTCTAGTTAGGTTTCTCAAATAGAATTGAGCTATTACCAAATCGGGTAACAATGTACTCTGGGAAAACACTTTAGCAGAGTTAATCTCTAACATCAGAATTAGTGCTCCCTTTCTCACTAGACCCCCCTTCCCTTTCAGATTGTAGTGTTGATTAAGGCAGTCCCTAAAGAGGAAAATGATGAAGACAGCCTTAACAGATAGGCATGCTGTACAGTTCCAAAAACCCACTCCTGGCTTTTTTTTTTTTTTGGTTTTCTATACTTGATGTCACATAAAAAAGGGCTCCTTTTCTCTTTTCTTCTCTGTCAATTATACTACGCGACTGACATATCAGGAAAAAGATAATGAGACTCCTGAATCTCCTTACCCAGCAGCAGAGGTGAGATGAGGGGAGGAAAAAGAAGGGTAGAACTGGAAAATCAAATAATCTGATAGGATTTGGAGATCTTACGTCCCATTCCATTCCCCCTTTTCTCACAAGGTTAAGTCAGCCGAAGTCGGGATTGTGTTAGAAAAAGCACGCACGCAAGCGCGCGAGGGCGCGCATACACACACCTTGCACCCAGGAAAGGAGGTGAGGTTCGCTCCGCAGCGCTCTTGATGGGGCTCTGGGCTCTGCCCCGCCCGCCTGGGATACCTCAGCCCAGCTTGCCCCGGCCCAGGGAGAATAGATGAGAAGGGGCTTCTAGAGATCTTGGCAGGGGGAGGGGGAAGCGGCTACTCCGGGTGCCAGGCTCTCAGAGCGTAGCACTCCGCCGTGCGCCGATACCCCCCTCCCCCAGCCGGCTGCTGCTCGCCAGCCCTCGCCGCCGGAAGCCAGCCCCGCCCCCTTAGCTCCGTCCCGGCTCTGCGAGCACCCTCCCATCTGCACAGCCAATGGTGAGCCAGGGAACCAGCAGAGCGACTCGCCACGCAGCCAACGGGGGAGGCCCACTGGGAGGTCAGCCGCCGGGGATAGGCCAGCTACCCGCAGCCTCGGCCCTGGCCCGGCTCCTCTTTGTTAACGCTGCCCGGGTCTCTGCTCCCCCCCTCTTCGCAAAGCAACGAGCCAAGCCTCCTGCTGGGCCAGGTGATACCATGCCTATCTCTTGTTCTCCTGCCCACTTTCTGCCTGGGTACTGAGTGACCCGCCCCCAAGCCGTTGGAACCTCTCAGAGTGTCTCAGACTTCTAAAGAAACTGCCACCGAGACTCCAGTAAAAGGATTTGTCTCCAGGTTGTTCGGCCTAGACCTCCTTTTATCGGACTAATCAACTGCACTCCTTCAAAACAGTGGATGGATTTACATCAGTTCTCCCTGTCAAAAATTTCTGCTTCCCGTGACACAGAAATTAGGATGGGGGGGAGTTTAATTCAGAAGGTATGCATCTGGGGGGTCGGCATTTTAACTCGGGGGTTCTGCCGCCTGAGTCCCAAGCGTAAGGTCCGGGAATTCAGTCCCCGATACCAACAAAAAAAAAAAAAAAAAAAAAAGATT